TAAATTGTTGAAATTGTTTCTTATCATTAATGGTCCACCTGGTCCATGACACCACTGTGCACAAGTTCTGTGGAGTTTTAGTTTTGTTGCAATATGAGATAAATAAATTTTAAAAATCATGTTTAACTATCATTTGTACAAACACCCAACGAATCTGTAGTAACTAACATTTCAGTAGTCCAAGTACAAACCATGAGGACTCAATAAAATTCTGGAGCCCATTATCAGCTGTGCACATTGGCCTCATAGGAGCCTAACTGTAAATGCCAAAACTGCCATAGCTTGATAAAACCTTGACAACCTTAACTTAACCTTGATCTAAACTGAAAACCTGAATGCCCACATTAGCTGGCACTGCAGCATGACCACACTTAACAATTGAGAAAGAGTAAGCTCTTTGACTTGTGAAAGTTTCAACAGGAACTGTGGATACAAAGACACAAAAAGCAGAAAACAATAGAAACGGAATCCAATCCAGGTTTACATCATCAGGCTAATCTGAAGAACATCCACCACACTATTTCCATTGCACCAGCCCACGAGACAAATGTGTTGACCACAGCAGATTCCTGCTCAGACTCCCTTTATCAGCTCCTCCTTGAGAACCTGTTTGCCCTGTCACGCCAGGGAGAAGGAGCATCGCCACCATTTTGATTGCTCCTCTCAGCCCCAGCCTTGTCGCAGCCCAGTGTGTCAAGCTCACAGTCTCCTTGTCAGCAAGATTTCACACTGTGGCCAAGGGGAACTGCAAAGCACAGCCCTAGTCTCTCATGCAGACACACGCACCAACAACACACAAAAACACATAAGAGCTTCAAAAACATACACCTTCACTTGTGTGTTAGGCAGCTCCACAATCACCCACATAATTTCATATATGAAGTTGTGGAGTCATTCAACAAAAGTCTAAAATATGTAGTAAGATAACTTGTAACCTAGTAGAAAATATACTTTTAACCCCTAGGGTTGAACCAGACATGCTTTGTACACCTACAAACCTCAGATAACAGAGACCGGGCCCTATCTTCAGAAAAAGAAAAAAAAATCATCTTGTCAAACCTACAGTACTCTCACACACATTCTTAAAAGAGAGTGTGAGAATTTCTTGAATGTGTTGACTCCACTTTGTTGAACATTAACTCCCAGCATGGCCCAAAACACTGCATTATTCAGTGTTAAAATTCCAGTCTCATTCATGTCTCCTGCAGCCCCTCACGTAGTCACAAACATGGTTCTGTCCAAAAAGAGTCAACACAAACTTTATTCATACCAAACACAAATACACAAAGCCTGAGGGCTGCTGGAGAATTTCACAGAGAGCGGTGCTTGACCCAGTTGGATCAATCCATTCTGCTGTGGTACATTTAAGGTAGGTCAAATTAGGTTTATGAGTTGGGCTTTGTCAACTCAGGATTTTGCTTTTAAAAATATCACAAAATTTCCCATTAGTCAAACTGATTAGTTACATATCAAACAGAATGTAAACCCACTCTCACATCTCTTTCCAGTCTTTCACTTTCTCTGCCGTTTCCTTATTTTTGCTTATTGGTTGGTTTACTGTACATAGTCAAGTCCTCCACCACTCCCCCTTTAAATTGATATTTACAAATCTGGTCAGGCTGCTGTACAAATATTTTTGGTTTCAAATGACAGCCTTTTACAAAAGATGTGCAAATAAAGGTTAAATAAGGATGTGATTAGCAGGTATTTTGCGTTGTTATCTTCTCCAGCCTTCAAAACTAAAGACTGTTCACGGTAATTCAATTTAGGTATTACATTCTAAAAGCAAAACCTGGAAAGTTGACATGAAAGTTCAGCAAACCACTAGCAGCCAATTCTGCCTACTACAACACCAACTCTTCTTAAAACACAAGTAGGCACCATGTGTAAGTGACAGTTATGACTGTCCCAGGAGTATAGCTGCAAGTAATTTCAGTGAACATTGAGTTATAAAGTCAAAAATGGCAGAAGGACTGTACGGCAAGTCCAATTTACATTTAGCCCGAGGTTTAAACAAATGCCAATTCTCACTTATCAAGCCATTTGATCATGATATACAAAGGTTGTGTTCCAACCTCTGAAGCAGAACCAGCAGCTAGCACGTAGGCTAAAGAAAAAAGTTGAGAAGTTTCTATTTGACTGCAACAAGTTTGCATAAGGTGAATCGGTCAAGGGGAAGGTATTGTACTGTCACTGAGTTTATAAATGCATATCTCAGTTAAAATAACATTTGTGTGGTTCCCTTTAAAAGAGAAGAATAAAAGTGAGAAAAAAAAACACTAAATAGAAAAAGAAACAGAAGAGATAGTAGAAGAAGACAAAGCAGAAGGAGAAGAAAAGGAAGAATGTCGCCATTTGTTCTTGCACAATGCAACCTATGTCATGAGAAGAAGACATCCTGCCTGTCTGACTCCAGAGTGCTCTCTCCTTGGAGGCTTATCTGCTTTCCTCCATTTTATGGAGAAGCTCTTCACCAGCAGCTAGTGACATAGACCTGACTTCAGATCAGTGACAGCAAATAGGCAGCTAATGTAGCAACAGAGCACCGGGAACACAAACAACACACATCAATGTAGAGTACAGTCATGTTATTATTATCTTTTCAACAAATGCCAGGATGCATGAAACGGTCACACTAACCCTGTTAAGATTCAACTTTAAACATCATAATAGTTAAGAATGGGCGTTTGGACTATTTCCACACTTTCATGGTCTCTGTGACTGTGTAAGAGAGAGAGGGAAAGTGAGAGGGAGAAATCCTGCCTTTGTGTAACTGTTTAGCTTACTTGCTAACAGCAAAGCAATAATATTCTTATGCAATAGGGTCCAATGCCTTAAAAGCTGATGAGACATACTGGTGAAGAAAAGAATCATTAGTTCAGAACCATAAAGGTGTTATTTCTAAGATGCTTTGGTGTCATATATGTCTGCTCAGATGGACTGTTTAGCCCAGTTGCTTGCAGTGCTTGGAGAACTGTCTGTTTGATCATGCAGCAACTGCTTTAAACAATTTGACATGCTCCAGTATGATTTTTTAAGCACATCAAAGCTACATAAAATGTCAACGCAAAAACCTTGCTGTGGGGCAAAACGTATAATACATTGCAGGCAGAGTCAGTGACAAGGTAGGCTTAAGAGGGAAGATCGCAATCCACCACAATGGTGGGTGTATTTGTTTTTTCCAACTTTAGCAAAAGTTATTGTCAACCAATTTCTGACGACTTTGTGTCAAGTTTTTGCCTGACTTCAATTATTATTTAGAGCCACTCATGGCTCATCAACTCTACATTGCTCCATGTTTATTTAGACTTTAACAGGAAACATCTGAGTGGGCATGGAATAAAATCACAAAGATAAACAAGACATTATTTCAAGCCGTGTTGACACACTTTCCCCAAACAGAGGCCAGTTGTGCCAAAAGCACAAACATGTAGCATGTGTTGGACATGATTTTACTTTATTTGTATAGTAGGACTGTGGAAATAATTTTGGTACTTTTTCTTGATATTTCAAATTAAGGTTGAAAAAGGAATATAGTTAACAGTGACAACAGAACGAAGAGGTTCATAGGTCAAGGAGCTAACTGGGATTGACACTTTAAAACCAAGATAAACCAAGATAAGGGTTTGTAAAAGCGGTCTTCTGGATAGGTGCAATCAGTTTAATTTGGTGGTGAAAATCAAAGTTTGTGAAGTTTTACAACAACATCCTTCAAAAATCTGTCTTTACAGGGTTCCATTTAAAGAAGAAGTAGCAAGTCACAGGCAGAAGTAGCAGATGAGAAGGAAGAAGTAGAAGAAAAAAGAAACAAAGCTGGTGATTATAACAAAACATTAAATGGAAAAAGAAGACAATAATTTGGATAAAGGGGAGTGGGAGAACAAAATGAGAAAGGTAATAGTAATATTAAGAAGAAAAGTCCAAGGAGGAGGAGAAGAAGAAAAAGACGAAAAAGAAAGAAAATGTGGTAGAAGATGAAAATAAAATAATAAGTACACGAAGAAGAAGATGATGAAGAAGAATGTGGCGGTGTGTTCTTACAAAACAACCTTTGTCATGGGGTGAGGAGAAGACATCCTGCCAGTCTGACTCCAGGGCTGTCTCTCTCCTTGGAGGCTCATCTGCTTTCCTCCATTTTATAGAGAAGACAGTAGCCAGTGACATGTACCTGACTTCAGATCAGTGACAGCCAACAGGCAGCTAACAGTGTAGCACCAAGAACAAAAACAACACAAATTCACACAGACTTTAGTGTGTCCACCTTCATTTCCCCATTATCACCGTTAGACATGGAGCTCCAAGCCTGTGGAGAACCGACCCACAGAAGCAGAAGACAAGGCTTCTCTTTTTTAACTGAGAAGTCGCGTTTAAAGGCTCCTCACACTGGACATGACTCTCAGGGTGACTGTGTCACTGTGTGTGTGTGTGAGTGTGAGTGGACCAGCTCCTCTCTGTGGTTAATGGAGGCTGGTTGAGAGAGAGGAGAGCAATCCGTGCAATGGCTTCTCCATGAAGCTAAGGCGCAACAACACGCACGGACGGACGGAGGGACGCGCTGCCAGAGCCAGCAGTAATTCCCCTGACCAGACATGTCAGAATAACAAAACACTCCTCTGCGTCTCTCTCTACACTACACACACAGCACACTTCACACTACAGACGCCGCGTCCATTTCCTTGTGTCACTTTGACAACAAACCGACAGGCGACATAGCGAGGAAGCGCTGGGTCTGGTTATTAGAGCAGCACCAGAAGACCCACTTTGGGCTTCTGAGTGTATGGGGGCGACCACCCGACCAAAGCCCCTCTCCCGGCTTCCTCTCCCACTCCAGTCGGCTGGACCTGGACGGCGAGGAGCTTAGAAAAGGGGGGTCAGCTCTTTCCAGGTCATTCACGAGGCGCTCTCCACATTATATCCCATGATCTACCAGCAGCGACGTTCTCGCAGACCTTCAAATCCATGCCGAACAAATGTTGGAAATATAGTGAAATAAAACTCACTGGTAGAGTCTTCTCCTCCCGAAACTTGTCCTCTTGTATCTCATGCGTGCGCCCAGTCGCTCTAATGGATGATCGCCATCTTTCCTGCTTCTCCTTCGCTGCAGCTGCAGATGACCTGAGATCCGTCTGTCTCTGAATAATGAGCAACCACCAGCACACAGACAAGGAAGACAATCTGCCGAGCAGGCAACACAAAGAAGTTTGGGAGACTAGCAAGCACCAGAGGGTGCACAAGAGTTTGTGATGAGACGAAGGAGCATCAGCAGCAGCAGCAGCAGCAGGAGCAGAAGCAGCAGGAGGATGGACAACGTCTATGTGTGAGAAGCTCATCCTTCATCCAGACTCAAGTCGGAAAGAAAAAAAAATGTCCTCGATGTGTGGATCAGACCACCAGCAGCAGATAGACGCAGGGAAGCAAGAATTATATATACAGGCTTTCCATAGTGTGTCTGCCACGTCATGAGGTTATCTGCAGTTCACTTTGGTGATGAGGATGATGATGATGACAATGATGATGCTTCACACTTTAACCACATATAAACACTATAAAAAAAATACAGATGTGATTTACGACGTATTTGTATCACTACGTCGTAAATCACTATTAATAAAGACACGTTTTCGTCATTCATATTAACAGGTTTTGGGTCGTTTTTTCTCACTCGTTTATATTTGTATTATTCGTAATTACACATTTTATCATTCATATTCATATGTTTTTATCATTAATGTTTTTCTGTTTTATTGTTCATATTAATATGTTATTAACATTATTTTTATGTATTATTACACCTGGATGTTTTTAAAAGTCAATTTACATGTTTTCTCATGTACGTTCATACATTTTTATTATTCTTGTTTACATGTTATCTTTGATGTATAAACACGTTCGTATCGTTCATTTTGATGTGGTTTAATCCTTTTTGTTTACAATATTTTCGCACTAGTGCTACACATCTGTATCATTTATATTTACATGTTTGAGTCATTGATGTTTTTATTATTTATGAAGACATTCTTTCATTTCCTAATTTATGTTGACATTTTTATACTCCATGTTAACATGTTCTCTCATTCACATTTATGCCTTTATCATTTTTACATGTTTTTATGAATAGTTTTTACTAATTTTACAAATTATATTCACATTTTGAATATCATTCATTTTTTATCAATATTATTTAAATGTTTTAATGATTAGAATTTACCAGTTATAATCATCCATGTCGACTGTATTGATAATAAAGGTTTATGTTATAGACCTAAGAGCCTGGTGCATTAGACTAAACAGTATTAATTAGTAATACCTTTTTACCCCAGTAGTGCAGATATAAATTTTTGTCGTACAATGTTTTTTGTAACAATGATAATAGTAATTGTAGTTATATAAATAAACTATATATTCTGGATAAACTTTCTTCTCCAAAGAAAATGCAAATGATTGCCTTATAATAGATGACATTTCAAACAATAATGAAACAATATTATTAGATATTATATCCGCTCCCCACCCATACACACACCACAAGTCCTTCATGACCTTTATTCAAACAAAAGCAAATCAATTCATTTACATTCCAGCGTTTAATCACCGCACCTCTTTGTGGGAGTAAATAAACGGATGGATTGATTGACGAATGCATGAATAATAAGAGTATTGCGGTATGCTGCTGTCATGACATGGTCACTGTGGAGCAGACATGATGCTGCTGCTGCCAGTGCTGCTGCAGGCTGCATGCTCTGTCCGCAGGCAGCCTAACAAAGAGGCAGCCCGAGACAAAAGGTGCGGGGTTCTGCTCAGATGGATGTCAGCGTGAGGAAGGATGTATGAGAGGGAGGGTGGAGGAGAGTGGAGGTGAGTGAGGGGAGAGTGAAGCCTCACTCACACCAGTCCAAAACAGCTTCAACCAAAGCTGGTGGTTTATGAGTAGTTGGAATTTTTTTTTGATTTTTTTTATTGTGTATTCAATCTCAGGTCGAACGACTGCAATCCACACCTGCATTTATGGATGTGGATTCATCAGGATGATGAAACATCGCCTTTGTCTGTTATGTAAATAATAAAATAAGTATTTGTTGCTAAACACATACTCATGCAGTGTATTCTTCCTTTAACTCAACAACTTGACAATGGGAGCTGTCATGAATGAAAGGACGTGCAACTGTTTACTCAATAAAAATGAAGTACAAGTACCAACAGACGATAGTCAGTGCTAAATACGTAGCTACAGTATTACCACCAAAAGCTCTGCTGTAGATGTCAGGAGTCCATCAGCTGGTTCTTTTACAGGTCTCATTTGGCCCGTTACATAAATCTAAATTAAATAAATTAAAGTTGAACTTTAATGACTGCACAATTGAAACATTTTTTGTGCTACTGGCAGCTCTGTGGCAACAGGCTGACCCTTTGGAGCCACCAAGTATGTGGTTCATCTGGGAATCGAACCCAGGACTCTCTGTTCTCTGCTTGCAGGGGCAGCGGTGCTAACCGCTACAATATGGAACCACATCTGTATCAAATATTAAATTTTGCAAATCTAAGGTTTAGTCGTAGACTGTAATTAACAAAATGTTGCCCTCAGGAATCCCTACAGTTGTATGTGAGTACTGCATACAGTAGAGCATTGACCACAGGACCACAGGAAATGTACTGCAAATCAAAAGAAATGGAAGGATTTTCTAATTGTGTGAAGAGACACCTTAAAATAAGACATGTCTCTGATCAAAATAAACAAATAAAACAATAATAATTAAGAACAACAGTTGTCAGTAAACCTCTGCTGTATGTCATGTATTCTACTGCCAAAATTTACGAAAACTTTTTTGGAACAAAAAGTACTACACACATTTCTAGCAGGTACTACTTGTTGTATGTACAACAAAGACAGAAGTATCTGGACGTTGCCAATGGTGTAAAGGCAGAGGATTTTTTTTCTTACAAAATGAATTGTGAGTCAGGCAAAACTATTCGAAAATGTATCTTCCCTCATTCCCTCCACACCGCCCCCTTCTGCCAGCCCGGCACACAAACACTGGAGCATACATTTGTATAGGTTCACTGATGTTAAAACAGACCTACACCTAACCCCTGACCTCAGTTTTTCTTTCATACAGCAGAGGTCGTACTGTATAGTCATTTTGGCTCCTTCAATTCAATTGTTGTTTTCCACTAATAATGCATCACAAATCATAACTTAAATCAGGAGCTTTTGGGAACACGTCATGGAGAACTGACCACAGTTCATTGGGTTCTTTAATCTGTCACCGTGTCCTCCTCCTCCTCCTCCTGGTCTAATCCCAGACTGACTCCTCATATGATTTGGAGACCATTGCTCTGTGGGAGTCACACCATCTGTTCCAGGACTTCTTGAATGCTAACTCCTGAAGATATTTATTCATGACACTGGCTTGACGTTCCAGGTCATGTTCAGGGGTCACGCTGTGAAGAAGACGTTCTCAACTTGTCACCTTCTTCGACAACGTCATTCATCCATCGTTGAATAAAGTCTTAAATAAAGTCTAGTAATGAACATCTACGAGCTGTAGAGAAAATGTAAAAGCCAAACTGAACTGAGGAGGAGACAGAACTATGTCATGATTTGGGACTCAAGGAAATGCAGGAATTTTGTGACCCACTAACAAATGGACCAGATTTGTCCTACTTCATTGACGTAGTCTTTCATAAACCACACTAACATTATGAATATTGTTATTATGGTATCTGCCTACTAATAATTTGTTGTTTTTGATCATGGTAACTATTCGTTTTCACTACTGTAACATCAGCAAAAACAAGTATGATTTTAGCTAGGACAATTCTGACCTTTTAGTGAGCTTCCAGATATTAATCTCTACTTTCTGACATTTAGCTATTGGCAATATGTTTTCCATATAATTTTATTTCTCGTGCTTAGTCTATGTACTTGTTTGTTTTGTTTTGTTAGGTGTTTTGTGAATGTTCAGTAACTGGTTGTTTAACATTGAACAACAACAGTAACATTGTCCTGTTTGTACCAGCAGTGTTAATTATTAGGTTTATGACTTTTTTCCCAGTTTGTGTGTGTGAAGTGCAGTGCTTTGCTTTTTTCAAACAAACAGTAGATGGCAATAAGAACATTTGCCCTGTTTAGTCTAATTCCAGTCTTATGAAGGGATTTGCTGGGGGGGGGAGTTTAGAGTAAAAGGAAGTTGGAATCTTGGTTTGATTTTTACCTACATTATTCTGTCTTACCTCAAAAAACCTGAAAAAACTCAGAGACACAAATCATGTAAGAGGGCCACCTGCTGATTGCTGTCAGACTTACAGGAACAGAGAGAAATTTAATTTGTTTATGATACAAACAGACTTAATCAGGTTTGACACATGGTGTGGCTGATGGGATACAAATATATTCAGCAAAATACTTCACAGAGGAAATGGTATTCACTCAGTATTTGCGTCACTAATCTGCGGTTGCTGCCACCCTCAATAAAACGGCAGTAGATTCTGATACAACCTGTCTTATATGAGTTGAGCATGAGTTGAATTTCGTGAGAGAGTAGAATACGCAATAAAAAAAAGGTTCTCAAACACCAGGCCTTGGACCAGTACTTGTCCATATGTCGTCAATATCAAGGCCCCAAATGACCAGAAATGAAACGTCTCCTGGTACACGCCAATTGTGATGAAACTTTGGCTTCCAAACTAATAATATTAACAAAAAAAAAAATATAAATATATATATATATATTCACAGTCCAACCCTTTGTTCAGCATCATGGTAAGTTAAACTTTTAATCAACAAAGACACGGGCGACTTCCTGTTTCAGCTGCTGCTCAGGCGAACAGTTCTGCAGCCTGACCAGAGGAACTGAAACACTCAGTCAGGGATTTCCACCTGGCCATTTCATTAACGTCTCTAGTTTTTGTGGTCCAGTCCAGATCATGGTACTGCACACGGTCTGTACACAGTCCTTCTGCCTCTGTAGCTTAGAGTATGTTGGTGAAAGATTCAAAGATATTCAAACATATTCCTGGAACACCGACACTTCTAGATCTGTACTTCTATATAGTTTTTCAGTAACAAAAACAGTTAAAAAATACTGAAAATTTTGACTGAGCGCCTCAGGGTCACATGTATAACTGATCATGTGACACATTAACTCTTATATTTGTTCTACCATTAGTTTTTGTTTTGTTTTTTTCGCAGAGCCTCGCCGTCTGGTCCTTTAAAATATTTCCTACATGGTTATGCTAATCCTGGCCCACAGAAGGTTGTGGACCTCTGCTAAAAGTGACAGATGGAAACAGGAACAGGCTTCTTCAAAGTTCTCCTATAGTGCCAGTTCTCTTGTTACAGTGACGTACGTATCCCCGTGTATTTCCCTAACACTGCGGCTAACCGTCACCTGGCCCAGATCTGACTTCCTCCTCCGTCAGTCTGCTGGGAGTGAAAACACTACCTGTATTATTTATTCCGAGGTAAATGTGATGCCTCAACAGAACTGTGCAGGAGCGTCTTCGGAGGAACAGCGTGTGGAATGTGCACACCCATGTATACACTCGCACAAACACACACACACGCGGTGTGTGTTGACAGTGCATCCTGCGGCTGCCAGGTAGCGGTCGGGGTTTATCATGCTGATAGGACATATGGCTGCTGCGACAAATCTGATTAATATGGAATGGCCGGCACAGACTGCACCAGGACATCCCCACTGGTGCGGCCTCCCCCACA